CCCCAAAACCCCAAAACCCCTTTAATGTTAAATATAGTAGTGTATAAAGCAAAGTAAATTTTGAGATGAAAAATAATTTATAGGCACAAAATAATTTGCTAGGTTTAATTAGTATCTAAACTCAGTGAGTATTGCTCCCTGAGTTTAGATTTATGTATATTCAAAGCAAATATGGATAAATAGTGTTCATTGACCGATTCCTTAGCTTGGGGTGTTGCTTTTTCAGTGTTCAAGGCGGATAAGAGCAACTTCATTGTAAGTCGAGTTTGAAAACTTCTTGCGGACTGCCTATAGAGAGCATTTCTCAATCCCTTGTAATAAGATACAGAGATCTTTGGCACAAGGTCTCAAGTGACTCTCGCTGTAGCCAGAGTGCTATTGTAACTTTTCATCCCAAGCTGGTAGCTTGATATCTATGTTAATTTCGTCGAACCTTGGGATTATTTTTAAAGCTAGGTATAGAGCGCTAGCTGCCAAAAGTGAAGGGCAGTATTTAAGCATTCTATATTCAATTAGTGGCAATTCTATGAGATATCTGGCCATGTTGAATTATTTTGAATTGAGGTTAGCGATTTTTGAAAATCTTTCTAGGAATCTGTAGCTTGATGGAGTGCAGATGTTGAAGTCTAGCTCAGTGAGTAAAGCAAATTCTTGCTTTAGGATCTCCTCCTTTTGGTAGGCCTTATCTGTTATATAAACAAAATCTCTAACTTCAGGAGCATAAATTTCCTCATACTTTGATGCTATTAGCATTGCTGTAACACCAACGAGTTGAAGTTTAGTCCTATGAATTACTTGTTTTTCTAGGTATCTGTCGATAAGATTGACTGTGAGAAAGAGAGTTTCTGGGAGGAGCTTGAATTTGTGATGAACTTCTATCAACCAATCAACCAAGATGGCTCTCATCTTTTCATTGATATCATTCTAAGAGGTCATGTAACCGACCCTTGGAATATAATCTTTCTCTGTATTTAGCATATGTTGAGAACACTCCTTAGCGAATTCTGCAACTGCTTATGGATTCGAGACGTCTTAAATATCAACTTCGCAGACCTAGTGCTTAAGGTACTCCTAGACAGTTTGATGCCAAAATTTATGAAGGACAGCTTTTTTCTCGGGGCTTTCAGTCAAGATTTTAATATCATTTTCCTCCTCATCCATTTAGTAATCTGATTAGTGAATCTACGCGGGAATTTACCTAGGAATTACTTAGCAAATCTACTGATGGTAATCCTCTTCTACTCTGAGGTCAGGTTGATTCAGATTTGCGAAGGTTCCAGTGTTATTAAAATGAGGCACGTTCATTATAAGGGAGTTATTAGTTGATGGAAAGCCACTGATTTACTGAGAGATTAGGCTACCATGATTATTATTACCAATTAGATTATGATGAGTCTAAATAGTTTCTCTTGCACTTCTGGTAGAAACATTCATTCTTCCTTCCTAACTGTTCCCCATTCTTCTCTCCTTAGTTACAATGAATTTGCTGGGTAGAGGCTAATGACCGTTAAATTCATTTAAATGGTTTCCATTAATAACGCTATCATTATTTTTATTATTGAGGAGTCTATGATGCTGTTGATTTTAAGAGTTTGATGAGGCAGATCCAATTTGAGATTTGACTCTGAGGATCTTGGGTTGCTAATGCTGCAGACCGTTCATGTTTTTGTTCCCATTTGCGTCTCCATACGCCTACTTTACGTCTTAGTATTACTAGATGTTAGAGAGATCTTTTCCGAACTATCTCACATTATTATATGTCTTGTTTATAAATGTGTTGTTTTCATACAATCTGTTCGTGTTTGATCTCTCCTTTGTATTTCTATTAACTTCAATGCCCTAGGCAGCTAAGTTCTCAGTGTTGATGTTCTAAGAACCCCCCTGGGTAGTCTGGAAGTAGGGTTGGAAACGAGAACGTTGGTTATTTTATTAGTGAAATGACATGAACCGATCCGCAATGTCTAACTAAAATAAATATGAAGAATTATTAAGAATTATTTAAAATTTCAAAATGCTTAATTTAACGATCTAATATGTCCTTTTACAGTCCCCTAGTGGGGTTTTGGGGTTTTGGGG